AGTCAAGTGGCTAAACTCTTTGCCTTTCACATTGGGATACCATATGGGTGCCAGTATCCCTCATGCTCCACATCAATAACCAGCTCCCTGCTTGTGTCCCAGAAAAGCAGCCACTGACAGCCCAAAGCTTTGGGACCCTGCACCCTCACAAGAGACCCATATTCTCTCTGTATATCTGACTTTCCAATTGAAAAAAAAATTAAGTTTTACCTTACTTAATACATTCTTAAATGTTGTTACACTCAAGTACAAAACTAACAATGTTTTAAGACATAAAAACAGTTTGAAAAAACTAGATAACAGCAATTGCAAATGAAGAAAAGACAAAATAAGGATATTTAGGTTAAGTCTCTGTTGCTCATATACAGGGGTGGGGGAAAGATACCGAAAGTGGATATATTGCATTTGAAACTTGTTCCAACCCATGGTTACTAAAGCAGGATCTATAACCTGATTATATACATACTATTTCATCTCAACCCTCACAAATCCCTTCATTTCCCCATTCCACCTTTCTAGGAGGCAATGAGAAGAATCAAAGGACATTAGAATACTGTCAGAGCAATTGGAAATGTTTGAAAAGGGAAACTGCAAAACATTAAATAAATCTCACTGCAAAGTAGTCTCTCTGAGGTGTGTTCCTAGGGAGGACCTTGGCCAGGATCTAGTCAGTATCAATATCAGTGGAATCACAGCTAGGGGCTCACATGAGAATGCTGGTGGAAACAACTTAGATGTGCACAAACTTCATCCTGTAATTAAAGGCATTGATAATATGTTACATGATACATTCTGCAGAAAAAGATGCCTCTCTTGTATTTGATGCTGAGCATTTTGGACCTTGATAGGGACATGTCTCTAAATAAGTAATAGAAGTAGTCAAGGCTTTCACAGATGGGACCATGCCAATGAGCTTAATACTAAATATTTCACTTACCTCAGCATCAGTCATGATGCCCATGCTTAAAATAACATTTTTTAATTCATCTGAACATGGAATTATAATAGAGACAGAAGCAGAGAGGCATCTTTATTCCATTGATTCAAATCCCAAATGATTGCAACAAAAGTAGTTGAGCTGGTGTGAAGCCAAAAGTTAGGAGATAGGTCAAAACTGAATCAGCTAGGACATGAACCAATTGTGCCCTCGGTTGCCACAGTAGGATAACCAGAACCTTACACAACCATCTTATAGGGCTGGATCTGATGTTCATCCTCATATTTGAAAGACATTAGGCACAGGTTGGCATCCATTGGCAAGAAGCTTGCTGTCGGAAGCCAGGGTGCAGGAAATCAGCATGAACGTGATAGTAGTTGTGGCAGCTGATATTTAAACTGCAGTGGCCATTATCATATCACAAGTCAGATGCCAAACAATTCTTATGCCTCTTGCATATACCTCTAAAAGTATGCAATAATTAGACAAGGGCCAAAAGTGATCCAGTTTGCCAGATGTCACAAATGAATCACTCCCCATTCTGAACAAAAAATTCATCCTTTAAAACTGGGTTATTAGCATTACAATTGCCACATGCATCGGTTGATATTTGTGAGTCCCATATTAATCTATTATAGAATATTTGTGAATTAGCACTATAAAAAAAGCTATACTAGATAACTGCATAAATGCTATATGGAATTCAAAACAAGTGTTATACACAGAATATTTATTTTCAAAATTAAAATGTGAAAGCAGAACTTATTTACAACAAAATTACATCAGGTAGATTCCATTTCAAATATTTTAGCAACACATAGCCTTCTTCAGAAATATGACACACCTCATGTTTATTATTTGACAATTGTTGAGACTTTCACACATCCTACTGCAATTTTACAATGTATCCTATCTGTAATTTACTAATGCTTGATTTGGACTTTATACGATTTGACTGAGAGTAGCTTTATACTAGCTAGTTTTTTCTGTTTACATACTTTTGTTTTTCTTAGCTTCATAGGATCTGCAGAGAATTGACTTCAGAAAATATGATTGTTTTTAGGCAATGCAATATTTTTGTTGCTCCTTATGGATATATTAGTGAACTGTGACCTCATGTTAGTTTTTGCTTTCTAGTGCAATCAATGTTTTTTGTGTATGAGTTTTTCAACATTTCTTCAGGCATGTGACTTAGTTTATGCAATAACTGCCTGCTAACAAAAAGATTTTCCTTACTCGTCATACTGAAAAGTTTTTATCTTGTGTGAACTCTATGATGATTGATTAGGTCTTTTTTACGGCAAAACACTTTTCCACATTCACTGCATTCATACGCTTTTTTTCCTGTGTGTATTCTCTGGTGTATAATTAGGGATGCCTTTTGACAAAATGCTTTTCCACATTCACTACATTTAAAAGGCTTTTCCCCTGTGTGAATCCTCTGATGTACAATGAGACTGGACTGCTGGCAAAAGGCTTTTCCACATTCACTACATTTATAAGGTTTTTCCCCTGTGTGAATCCTCTGATGTACAATGAGACCGGACTGCCGGCAAAAAGCTTTTCCACATACACTGCATTCATAAGGTTTTTCCCCTGTGTGGATTCTCTGATGGATGATTAGGTGTGACTTCCGACAAAAACCTTTTCCACACTCAGTACATTTATAAGGTTTTTCTCCTGTGTGAATTTTCTGATGTCGGATTAGGTGTGCCTTCCGACAAAATCCTTTTCCACATTCAGTACATTTATAAGCTTTTACTCCTGCGTGAATTCTCTGATGTGTGATAAGCTGTGACGTCGAATAAAAACGTTTTCCACATTCACTGCATTCATAAGGTTTTTCCCCTGTGTGGATTCTCTGATGCACAGTTAGGTGTGACTTTGAATAAAAACTTTTTCCACAATCAATACATTCATAAGCTTTTTCCCTTGTGCGGATTTTCTGATGTATGCTTAGCTGTGACTTCCGACAAAAAGCTTTTCCACATTCACTGCATTTGTAAGGTTTCTCTCCTGTGTGGATTCTCTGATGCACAGTTAGGTGTGACTTCCGACAAAAAGCTTTTCCACATTCACTACATTTATAAGGTTTTTCCCCTGTGTGGATTCTCTGATGTACAATGAGACTGGACTGCTGGCAAAAGGCTTTTCCACATTCCCTACATTCATAAGGTTTTCCCCCTGTGTGGATTCTCTGATGTCTGATTAGGGATGACTTCTGACAAAAAGATTTCTCACATTCATTACAATTGTATGATTTTCCCGCTGTGTGAATTCTCTGATGTGTAAGGAGACCTGATTGAGTGCAAAAGGATCTTACAGGTTCATTACAATCATACGGTTTCTCCTCAGTGGGAAGCATCTTCTCTCTAGTGAATTCTGACTTCTGGTAAATATTTTTGCTACATTTATTGCACACAGAGAAATTTTCTCCAATTTCACTGCCCTTCTTGGTGGTTAAGCTAGAGTTACAGCTAAAAGACTGTTTGCAGTAGCCACATATATAGTGACTTTTCGCTATTTGGATTATCTGATTTATTTTGAGATCTCTTTTATAAATAGGACATTTCTCACTCTTGAAAGGTTCATGGAGTTTCTTTCCTGAGTGTGTTTGTTGATGCTTGACAAAATAAGGATTGCTATGGAACATTTTCTTGTCAACCTGAATTGTTTCTCCTACAATGATAGGGTCATTAAATGGGTCTTTGATACAAATTTTCTTACACTTAAGGAACATCTTCGTGCTGAAAGTTTTTTCTTTTCCATTGTGTTCAAAAGATTGCTTACAAGTGTACATCTTCTCATGCTGACTGAGCTTTTTCGCAAATTGGAGTTTGTTCTCAGGTACATTAGAGGCATGCTTTTTCTCAAGTGACATTTCATCAGGCTTCCTAGGAAAAAAACACATTTTGAAATAAACTATGGTGTCCTTTCCTCTCTTCAAAAGGTACCCCATCTCTGAGTCTTTCCTGGGACACACTTCCCACCTCCCCTCTTCTTCCAAGTTCACCTGGTCACTTCAGAAGCAAACCTTCTGTAAGCAACTGAGTCCCAGTTTCTGTTCCCATACTAAGCTGAGGAAACAGCCACTGAGATTCCTGGTAACATTTTCTCTGGTGTCCAATACAGGGCATGAAATGGCTTCTTATACCAGTCATGTTGCTTGACTCAACAGAAAGAATTTACCGTGTTGGTGTGCTTTCCCTCAAGTGGGACTGAACCTTGAAAATGACTCTTGATACCCCATGGTTCTGCATAAATATGGATCCCTCCACCCCATCCACTGTCCACCACCTAGCTCTGGTTGAAACTCCAAATAGGTTCTTTTTTTAAGGGGGATGAATTGCTGTTTCCTATCATCTCAATTTCTCCTTTGGGAGTATGGCTCTGGGTGTGTGTTTCGAAGAAACCTGGTGGAGGACTGACAGTCCCTCTCAGAGGCTACTTTTTTGCATGACGGGAAACTCCCTGGGTGGATTCTGAATGCTGACGACCTGGCATGGTACCCAAGTGCCAAGCTTCTTTCTCATGTTTCATGTTGGTTTATCCTTAGTGAAGGAGGACTGACTCATGGCACCCCGACAAGTATTATGCTTGGTTTTGATTATTTGAACTGACTCATATGCACCTCTGATGACTCTCCCTACACCCCTGAGATGAACTAAGACCAGTTTCTTTATTTTGACTCCTGTCTCAATTCTATCACCCATGTGTCTTCCAAAATCTGAGACCTGAACAGCAATAGAACAGGAGGAGTACATTTGAAACTACACAATAGGAGCTATTGATTGACAGACAACAAATGGGAAATGTCTTCCCACAGGTTCCTCCTCAGACAAGGAGGAGTCATACAACACTTAAAAATCCAAGACCCTTCTGAAAAATGGTGCATCTCCCTCTCTCCACTCAACAGGTATCCCCCATCTATCTCTTCCTCTCTGAGGTGGTCCTTTTCCATTCCCTCTGCTTTCTACATTCACCTGGTAACTCTGCAAATAAAACTTCTCTCAAATAAACAAAAAAAAGAGACATATTTCTACTTTCTTTTTTATACAATTTCCTCTCCATAGCTTTTCATAGCACGCGTCAATTATGGCCAGAGCTTAAATTAATCATCTTTGCCAATGCAACTCTTTTTGAAGTTATACAATTTTTGTTATTACAACTTGCCTGAAAGTGGTTTCTTGATTTTCTGGATTAGTTCCAAGCAGCTCATTCTTTGTGTAAGGATCTGAAAAGAGGAAAAAGAGTAACCATATCTGTGAATCACATCTAAGTATCTCTTTTCAAATGCTCAAGTAAGACAATGATGTTTCTTGCCAATCTAGATATAACAGATTTTAATATTCAAAAAATGCACACATTTATGATCATTACACTTTTTAAGTTAATACATTAATACAATAAATAGGGTTTCTTTTTCAATTTTCAATTACTTGGGATTTTATATTTTAAGTTGATGTGGAGTAGGACAGAAAATATGGTACAGCAATTCAAACTAATGCTTGTAATGCATTACATCGCATAACAGTTCCAGTTTGTCTTATCTTGCAGGGATCATGTAAAAGGTCAATATTTAGCTCTACATTTTTGGTTTCAGGTTGATCAATTTTAACATTTGAAAGCATTGTTAGAATAAAACTGTATATGGAGACTGTGGAGTGCCTTTGTCTCATGTATGACATAACCTGATTTTGGAAGAAACATAAAAAAAAATCAACATGAATTTCAATGAATATTTACTGAGATACATATCAATTTCACTTCCCAGTATGTACTGCCCTACCTGAAAGTTGCTGGGGTACAGATTTTTCCGCAGTCCATGGTACTGATTCTTGTTCCAACTTGAAGATCACATCAGGTTTTGTTATGTGATATCCTGTTAATTGAAAATAATAGCGATTTTGTGAAATCACTACCTTGGAGCTTAAAGAAGAAAAGATTGGATCTAGAATCTGAGTCACAAAATGGCTAATATGAATCATTATCTGAAGAATAGATATTAAGATTCTTTAAAGCCTCAAATACTAGTCCTACTAGATACTAAACTTTATAAGTTCTTCTTTAATTTGTCAAATATAAAGAAAGTATTCTGCTTGGGCATGACAGATTATCACTCACCCACGAACAGCAGATTGCTATAGGTCTCAAGCATCACATCCCTGTACAGGGTCCTCTGAGTATTGTCCATGATCTGCCACTCCTCCTGGGTAATGTCCACAGCCACATCTTCAAATGACACCAACACCTGCAACAACACATGTCTCCTCAGTTCTGGATCACTGGCAGTACATTCTTCCACGTATGTTTGATTTGCAGCTTATATGAATGCAGCTTAATTTATAATCTATATGGCATTATAGATTAAAAGCAAAATGAAAATACTCATTCTGCATTACTTTTGCAATTCCAAAACTACAATAGACTATCCCTTATTATTTTGTTGCAGATTCTTTCCTCTAATGACTCTGATTTTCATTAAATATAGAAGGTATCATTAGAATAAATCTGCAAGTAGAAGATATCACTCTGTTTGTCACTGTTATTGCCACTCTGCTTTTCAATTAAATTAAAATATATAAGCATTTTAACACTGAGCAAAAATATAAATTTAGTGCCTGTAATAGTAAGCTGAGTGATTTCCAACTGCCATGTTCCCCCATATTCACTTTCTGTAGAATTTCTTCTTATAAGAAAGATATATTGGTGTCTTCTCTACTGATTTCTCAGCTACAAAGCGGGGTAAAGTTTTCTGGATCACTCACTTAAGGCATAGGATTAGGAAGTGAGTCTGTTCTGTGTTAAAAACCATACATTAACAACAGAATTTGTATCCATGAATGTCTCATGTTCAGTCTTGTGAAGGATATGACTAAAGCTTCAGCTCAGGAGAACTATTCTTCGCATGTTTATTTTGCATCTTCTAAAGACACAGATTACTTTACAATCTGTATGGCAACATAAGGTAAAAACAAAATTAAAAACATCTTGTTCTACATTGTATTTGAAATTCTGAAGTTACAATGCAATTCCTTTATCACTCTGTAAGATCATTTTATCAAATAATTAGGAGCTCACTGTGTAATCTGTACATATAAATATGAACATTGAGCTAAATTACATGCAAGATTAGATAAGAAAGACACATGATTAATAATGGATAGAATAGTGAGAAAATGATTCATGATATTTTTCTCAAACAAGCTGATATTTTAAAAATGTATAAAGTGACATTAATAAAATTCAATTTTCCTATTTCAACTTAAAAAATGAAATATTGGAAAAAAATTTTAAATTAAACTTACACAAATGAGTGAAGAGTTAATACAGCTTACTCTGGATTTAAATACATATGTGATTTTTTGTTTTTTACTTTGGAGAATGTATATAATAAAATCCTTTCTTTTTTCTATTTTTTTCTTTTTATGAAAACACAATTAAATTAAGCTAATATTTTAATTACAGTGAACTTCAGCCTCATTCAGAACTAGCTTTTTGTAACAAGTAGCTAACTCAGTTTTTAAAATAAATAAAAACCTCCAAATGCTGCTAGGCACCATACCATTTCAGCAATTTCAAAAAGCAAAATTGAAAACTTGAAAACTATTTTTATATTTGGAAACTCTACCTACTCCCAAATGCTGAGTGGCTATTTTCAGGTTGGAACTGAATGATGTTCTTTATATCATCTGTAACATCAATAAACACCATTTTAAACTTGATATCCCTCAATAATTAATAAATTCTTACTTTTAATTTGAATCATGTAATAAATATCTTAGTTATATCATCAGAAAACTTGGAGGGAAAATTTGAATCAGATTTAACTGCTCCAATGTCTAGTTATGACAATCTTACCTTCTTCCTCTCATACTTATTTCTTTGTATCAGATTAAGAAAACCATCATAAAGCTTCTACAGCACAATGTAAAACAAGTTGAGACATAAACATACAACTTACTGAAAGTGTGTTTGTGTTCTCTAGACTTGGAAGCATGTAGTGTGTTTCAGTGAAACACCTGGAAGAAAAGGTGCACAGAGGAAGTTACAAATTGGTTTTGCTTTCTCAAGTTTCCTTATTATTTCCTATTGTGTAAGTAATGTCAAGGCAGGAACCAGACACAACGGCCAGAGAAATAAAGGCTATCCAATTTCCTGGGCAAGAATAGTGCATTACAGATGACAAGTGCCACGAAGCCATCCTAGAAACAGCATAAACAAATTCAATAATTGACAGTGATTAAATTCAAGTTGTTATTAGCTTAAAGCAAACATTTTTTTGCACTCTATTATTATTATCTTTTATGATACAGTTCCAAATTTGCTCATCACCTCCAAAATTCCCTCCCCCCACCTAATACCTCTATATCATTATTAACATATAGTTCTTCATACACATTCATATGTCCATCATTGCTGGCATGGAAAATGGCAGAGAGTCCAGCATCTTATTGTCAAAATATAGTAAACAGTTTCATTGTAAGTCCATCTTTGTCTGGAAGAAGAAATGCATACCACACTGCATCCTCACATCTGGATGTGAGTCTCCATTGCAAGGCTATTGTACATCCCCTTAAATAGTCATGATACAAAATCAACAATAGAAAGAAAAATAGGAATGTACAATGCCATGAAGTTCAATCACACGTTACTATATATGACAGTCTCCATTACACAACTACTGTACATCCCCTTAAATGAAAAGTTATGATACAAAATCAACAATAGAAAGGCTAACGTGTAGCTGAAGAAGTGAAAATCAAGAACCTTCTTGAAGAAAATGATATCACTGCATGATCTATGAGCCATTACATGATTTAATCAGAAGAAAGTATTTTGAAGAGATGAAACCAATAGAAAACAACAAAACACATGCAATATATTTTCTGGTGATCTTTGTTAAGCGTGTCTCCTCCAGACTATAAACAGATGGGTTTTGTTTTTCAATCCAGTCTACTAAGCTATGACATTTAATTGAGTTTAAGCCATTCACATTCAGAGTTTAATATGCACGGATGATACTTTGGTCCTCTCATTTTAGAAATGGGTTGTTCATTGGTTTAATCTTCTGTTGTCATTTTATTGGGATGTTCTTCCCATTTGCCTTTGGTTTTGGTGGATGTTCTTCCCATTTGCCTTTGGGTTGGGCAGGTTTGAAAGAGGCAAATTCTTTTAACATTTCTTTTCTGTGGAACAATTTGATTTCCTTTTCAAAGACAAAAGAAAGCTTTGCTGGATATGTTATCCTAGCCTGACAATTTTTTTCTTTCAGAGTCTGGAATATTGTGACTCCATTCTCTTCTTGCCTGTAGAGTTTCCTGTGAGAGATCTCCTGTGAGTTTAATTGGCATTCCTTTATATGTCAGTTGATTTTTTTTTCATGTGCATATTTAAGGGATCTTTTCCTTCTGTTCAATTAAAAAGAGCTTGATGATCATGTGTCTTGGGGAAAATCACTTTTGATCAAGCCTACTGGGAGTTCTGTGCCCCTCCTGGATCTTGTTTCCCAATTCTTTCTCCAGATTAGGGAAACTTTCCTTGATTATTTCATTAAATACATTTGCAAACTCAGCTTCTCTTTCTGCACCTTCTGGGACTCCCATAACTCATATATTTGGCCTCTTAATAGTGTCTTTCAGTTCTTTAATACTTTTTTGGCCTGATCCAGCTCTGCTTCCAGCTTTTTGTTTGCTTCCCCCTCGAGACAGGAAATATCTTCCAATTCTGAGATTTTTTCTTCTGCTTGCTTCATTCTATTTTGGAGACTCTCCATTGTATTTTTAATTTGCTCTACTGTGTTCTTAATTTCTGATATTCCAGCCTTGATTTGCTTTACTGCTTCCTTAAATTCTTTGAACTCTTGCTTGAGCTTCTCATTTTTGATCAGAATCTTTAAAATGAGTCTTATGGATTCTGTGTCCCCCATTTTTTTAGATGTCTTCTTCATGAACTCTGAGGTTGGCACAGGGCTTTGCTCCTTTGCAGGGGAGTTTTCAGTAATATTCATTGTGCCTTTGTCTCTTCTTTTGCTCTTGGTCATTGTACTTCTGGTTAGCAGAGTCTTCTTCTCCTTGGGGCAGGTTTCTAAGCTGCTTCACACTCAGGTATACAGTTTAACTCTACTTATTGCAGTTGGTATACAACTTTTGCTTGCAGCCACTTGTGCCACAACCTCCAGCATGTTCCAGGTCTGGGTTCTTATGTCAGATTTCCACCATGGTCTCCACAGCCCCAGCTCCTGGCTCACCACTCTCTACCTCCTGTGATACCATGCTGAGGCTGCACCATTGTCTCTGCAAGCTTTCTCCCACTTATAGTTGGAGTAGGTTCCAGGATGAGAGACACCAGTTGTCCTATATAATTAGGTTGTTGGTGGCGCTGATCTTATCAAAACCTCTTGGACATTAGGTCTGGGTACCCCACAGACCTATTTAGACCCATACGATGCCATAGTCAGTACTATTTTCCTGCGGGGCCAGTTCAATCCACTCACCTCAGTGAGTTCTCACGAACTCAGCACATGCACGGTTCACTGTTGTCCCCTGATGTTTTAAAGCTATTGCCACAGTGTACAAAATGGTGCCTGATGTACCAGCATTACAGTTCTTGATCTGCTGGCCATCTGATCCGAGGGCTACCCAGACCTGCCCCGGGGGGAACCTGTAGAATGCCACGCGGATGCAGTTCACTGAGTCAGAAATGAGCTCACTCCCAGCTCAGCAAATGCTTAGTCCTTTCCCTTGTTTTTGCCCTCTTATGCAAAATGGGGCCCAATTCAGCTCTAGGGGGCTTATTGGGCCCTGAAATCCACCCTGTTCTCACACTGCCCATCTGAGATCTGCTCCTCAGTCTCTGCTCCTGGTCAAATCAAATGGACCAGCAGGATGGACAGTTCTTTGTCTGGGTTCACCTCCCAATTTCCCAGTGAAAGTCCCTTCCTACCTGGTTGCTGGTGGAGTTCCAGCTGCTGGCAGAGTTCAGATTGCCATTAGCTGAATGCCGCTCGAGTATCATTCACTGCAACACTACACCTTTGTTCCCACTGCTTTCCTGTGTCTGTCAGTCTCCAGATACTCCTCTGCTCTTGCTATTGTTGTTCTGTCCTTTCCTATTTCCTGAAATATGTCCTCTCTGCTTCATCCTGATTAAATGTTTTCCTGTCCATTTAAACATGTTCTTACCCTATTCCACCACCTTGATTCTGTTGAAAGTGAAAACTTTCTACTGTCTAAAGCAAACGTTTTATACTTACTTAAAATTAAAAATATTACTGCCAAGCACTTAGTTATTTTTCTCAACCACTGTTCAAATTACAACATACCATAAAAAAATATTGTCACTGAAATTTATGCTACTCAAAAATAATTAGGGGTATTAAGTATTTGTTTTTGTAGATGAGCTGCATAGGACTCCATATAAGGACTTTCATTAGAACATTTATTGCTAATATTAAAAATGTTGAAAGCAGACTTTTTCAATTAGAGTAATTGTATCTGCACTTATACGGGAAAAATTGATATAATACATATTTACTCTCTACAACTTTCTAGTAACTGCTCCAACTGAAACTTCCTAAGACTTCAATGTCACTTCCCAGCTCTTAAACCTTCAATGACACTTGACTTTGCCATTTCATTTGCTTTGGCCCATAGGACATCTATAAATATGACAGCAACATAGTTTGAAATGTATTTTTACTTTACCTCATTAAATACTTATATTATAGCAACAGCTGGAGAAAACCATCAGACTTAGAGGATTGAATGTCATGATACAGCAGGTTTTGCTGCTGCTTGGGATAGATCACATCTGATACCCAGTTGCTTTGTTTATGTCTACTGCCTATTCAACACTCTCAACACAGAATCCTCTTATAAGGATAAATGTTTTTTCAGGTATTTGGGTACTCTAGTTTGATTTATTCATACTAAGGATTTTATTAGTAGTAGTAAAATGGTTTATATATATTTAAACACTTGAAACTCGGACTGCTGTGGTATTCTAGTGGTTAAAGTCCTCATCTTACATGCGCTGGAATCCCATACTGCAGCTGGTTTGTGTACCATCCAGCCAGTTCCTGTCCCAGCCAGGTTCCTGCTTGTGGCCTCAGAAAGCAGTAGAGGATGGCCTAAAGCCTCAGGACCCTGTACCTGCATGGGAGAATCAGAAGAAACTCCTGTATCCTGCCTTTGGATGGGTACAGCTCCTACCGTTGAGGCCACTTGGGGAGTGAACGAATGGATGGAAGATCACCCTGTGTCTCTCCTCTTTATATCTGGCTTTCCAAAAAAATTAAATATTTAAATATTCGAAAACTGATTCATGCTAAAATCTGAAGCACTTTTGCCTGTCAGTAATGGATAACATACTAAATAAGAAAAACCGCATTATAAATTTATTGTATTCACACAATCCAAAGTATTGAAAAAGGATTTGCAGAGAAGAGACAAAGGTCTCCATCCCTGCTCATTCACTCTCCAAGTGACTGCAATGGCTGGAGCTGAACTGATCTGAAGCCAGTGGCCAAAAGCTTCTTTCTGGTCTCTAATGCAGGTGCACATTCCCAAGGCTTTGGGCTATTCTCTACTCCTTTCCGAGCCCACCAGCAGGGAGCTGCATGGGAAGTAGAACATCTGGGACATTAATTGGTACCCAAATGTGATTCAAGCATATACAAGGGTTTAGCCACTAGGCTACAGCAACAGGCAATTAGAACTCCACTGGCAGATCTGAGAACCAGCTTGCAGGAGGAGCTGGGGCTGTCCACAACCACCTGGAATGTATCACCAATCAACAGGAGCTGAACTGTGGGTAGGCCGGACTGACCCATGCTGAAGCACCCACTGGTTGATGCCAAGGTGAGGCAAGCCACGTCAGTCTAGGGGTGGAAAGACAGTAACTGTGAGGCTTGGGAGCGGTGGTCTGACAGGACCTGGGTCAACTGGCCTGGGTCCTTTGGCCAGTCTGTGTGTTGGATGCTGGGTCTGTGAGCCCCTAGGGGACGGGGGTTTCAGCAGGACCAGCATTACATGGTCGGGGTCCTTGGGCTCACCTGTGTGGTGGGTGCCTGATCCAGTGGTATTCAAGTAACCTGGTTGAGGTCCTTAAGCCTGCATGCACAGTGGGTGCTGGGTCCTTGAGCCTCAGGGACAGAAGGTTAGTGAGGTCCACGTAGTCTAGCCCAGTCCTCCCTCGAGCCCACATGCAGGGAAATGCTGGGTTCATGAGTCCTGGGGAGGGGAGGTCCGGTGAGATCTGCATCACCTTGGACCCACCTGCATGGTGAGTGCCAGGTCTGTGAGCTCCAGGGACAGGGGTCTGGTGATGTCAGGGTTGCATAGCCCAGGTCCTTGGGCCTTCTTACAAAATGTGTGCAGGGTCAGGTGGAGGCCAGGTCATGTGTTCTAGGTCCTTGAATCTGCTTGTACACTGGATGCTGGGTCTGGGCCTCAAGGGCAGGGGTCCAGTGGGGCTCAGATCACAGGGCTCAGCTCCTGGGCCCCATCTGCATGGTGGATGTTGCTCATGTGAGTCCCTGGGGCATGGGGTCCAGTGCATGCCAAGTCTCCTGGCCTGGATCCTTAAACCTCATATGTTCTTTTTTAGAAATAAGTAAATTTTATGGGTCTGTTTCAGTAGCCTAGTGGCTAAAGTCTTCATCTTGCACATGCCAGGTCAGATATGGGTGCTAGTCCATGTCCTGGCACCCTGGTTCCCACCCAGCTCCCTGCTTGTGGCCTGGGATAGCAGTAAAGGATGGCTCAGGACCTTGGGACCCTACACCTATGTGGGAGACCCAGAAGAAGCTCTTGGATCCTGGCTTCAGATCGGTTCAACTCTGCCATTGCAACCAGTTGGAGAGTGCATCAGTGGATAGTAGATCTTCCTCTCTGTCTTTCCTCCTCTCTGTACATCTGAATCTCCAATAAAAACAAATTTAAAAATAAGTAAATCTTATTTTTGATATTTACATACGAGAGGGATGCATGCCCATGAGGACCACCAATTAGAGTGGGGAAGTTGAGGAATAGAAGAAAGTAGATGAGACGGATCTTTGGATGACACTGGGTGGCCTTGCCCCATTCCTGCTAGCTGTTAATGAATTGTCACAATAGCTGATTTTTAGTATACTCAAACACTTGAGGCTATAAATGAATTCACTATAAATGAAAACAGGACCCCATTTACTGTGCCAGTTTATCTGGCATGCTCTGTATTCTTTCTTCAGTTTCAGAAACCTATACTAACAAGTCTTGTCTGTCTCCTCCTGTATCTAGCCCTATGTGCCTCTGGCTATGCCTACTTTTATGTATCTCAGATCTTGCTTATGGCACTGTAAGTTATCTACAGTTTGAACACCTCACATGACTGGGACCCATATTCATCCTTGCATTAACCCATTTTAAAAATCTGTCACTTAAACCACATCATTAAAGTCAATTGTCCTTGTGCCTACAGCATAAGCCAGCTGTTCATAAAGAATCATTATTCACTTTGTTCAATAAGCAATATTGTTATTCTATATCTTTGGAAAATTTATATCTATTAAATACTTTATTGTAAGGACTAACTAGAACAGTGGACACTAACACAGATGTGCCACCTTAAATACCTGCGTCTCCTAGGTCTTGAACACCTTAGGGCCTCACAAATGTAAGCTTCAAGCCCTTTAGGCTTAAACGATATTCTCTGCCAATCCCGTGTACTTTATGACGTGGTACCTGACAGCTCTATTCACCAATGCTCTGTGGTACTTATCCCCTTTGTCTACTTACATCTGCATCTGCCAAGCCTGCAGCCCTGCGCTCCCAATACTCACCTCTATACTATAAAGTTACCTTGCCATTCTTCTGCTCTCACCCACTGCTTTCTTGGTCTGTCCCTCACTGCACTCTCCTTCCTCATCTCTTATCTTTGTCTCTTCCCCACCCATCATGCATTTACTGGCATAGGAGATAAGCTAAAAACAATAAAGAAAAAAAACTATTACTTACAAATTTGTTCAGTAACTTGCTGTAACTGAGACCTCCAAACACAATAGATATTCAACTAAAGATTTTTACAGTTTAACTTTTAAGCAGGATATTTTCTTTTTAAAAGAATAGATTTATTCATTTTTATTGGAAAGTCACATATACAGAGAGGAGAAAAGACAGAGAGGAAGATCCTCTAGCAGATGATTCACTCCCCAACTGACTGCAATGGCCAGAGCTGAGCCAATCTGAAGCCAGGAGCCAGGATTCTCCTTCTGGGTATCCCACATAGGTGCAAGGACCCAAGGCTTTTGCTGTCCTCCACTGTTTCCCAGGCCACAAGCAGGGAGCTGGATGGGAAGCAGAGCTGCCGGGATTAGAACCCACACCTCTATGGGATCCTGGCACATTTAAGGTGAGAATTTTAGCCGCTAGGTCATCACGCCAGACTCAGAGATATTTTCTGAATATAAACTTAATACCTAGCCTCTTGAACATTATGAACAATGTTTGTGCATAATTAAATATAACACTGAAAGCATTCTCTAAAAAATACAATGTTTACATCAAGAATAAATTGCTATAAAATTAAAATATAATCAATTCTTAAACTGTTTCAATGTATGAGATGAACTCATGTTCTCTGTCAGTTAATATATTAAGATGCAAAAAGGTTACAAACATGGAAATGTGTTCTTGATGAGGAAGATTGCAAGAGAAAATTTTATTGATATAATTGATCATAGTTTTTTTTTTACCATTTGCAACATTTTCTAAGCATTTATCATTGATACATGTGATAGAAGTCTGATCCTCTGTTAAAGCAAGTTTTAAAAGACATATGTTATTGTAACATGTTTTAAATTGTTAAAGGGCTTTTATCCAATTAATAAAAAAACTTTCCACCTAGCTCTAGTAAACTCTAGCTCTGTTCAATTGTTTCAAAATATGAGACGTGTGAATGTACTACCTCTTATGTCCAAGTGCTTTTTATATAAAAGTAATCTGTATTTTCTGCCTTTCAATAGGTTTTCATTGCTTAAGATCAGCAAATGGCCTGACATGGCAGCCTAGTGGTTAAAGTCCTCACTTTGCACACACTGGGATTTCTTTTGAGCACTGGTTCTAATCCCAGATGCTCCACTTCCCATTCAGTTCCCTGCTTGAGGCCTACAGTGATCTAATGAACCTTTTTTTTTCTATTATTTTTATTATTTTCTTATTGGAAAGGTGGATATACAGAGAGGAGAGACAGAGAGGAAGATCTTCCATCCGATGATTGACTCCCCAAGTGAGCGCAATGGCCAATGCTATGCCCATCTGAAGCCAGGAGGCTCCTCCGGATCTCCCACGCGGTGCAGGGTCCCAAAGCTTTGGGCCGTCCTTGACTGCTCTCCCGGGCCACAGGCAGGGAGCTGGAAGGGAAGCGGGGCTGCCTTCTAGAGGATTAGAACCGGTGCCCATGTGGGATCCCAGGCGTTCAAGGCGAGGACCTTAACCACTTGCGCCACCGCGCAGGGCCCTAATGAACCTTTTAAAAAAGAATTTATTTCCTAAATTAATCATGTACACCCACTTAGCACACCATCATAAAAATCTACTCCTTGAAAGATTTATTTCTGAAAAATGATGTGAACATTGGCCCTAAGACCCCAGCCACTTGGAATCAACACAATTTTAAATATCTCATTCCTCTAAATCTCAGCTTCCTTAAGATTCATATGCCCGTAAGGTTAAAATTTTGTTGTCTGCCAGTCTACTGTAATTTCACAACATTATTCCAACCAATCCACTGTAACCTCATGGCACCATTCCTGAAGGCCCTATCTGTCAATCTACTGCAGCTCCTCCCCCTAGTCCTTGCTCACCACTATACCTACCCGTTCCCTGTGGCCCCAACAGTTCTATCCACCAACCCCTTGTTGCCCACCCACGTCCCTATCTAGCAATCCCTCATGGCCCCGACACCTGCCCTCAGCCATAATGGCACACTCCCACATGCTTGCCATACTTCTTCTAGCTCTCCCCCTCTAACCTACTTCCCCTGAAGCCCATTCCTGCCACTATGGCAGAAGATGTCTTGGTTCCCTCTTTCTACCACTGTACTTGTCCCCATGGCGATTTTCCCTGTTGGAATGAAACCTGCATGGCTTGCTACATCTGGTGTTTTGGCTTGTGACAGCAAACTGAAAAAAGCTTATACTGAATGAAATAAT